TTTTTTGTAGTTTTTGGCCAGGGCTAGATTTGAACCCGCCACCTCCGGCATATGAGGCCGGCACCCTACTCCTTTGCGCCATAGGCGCCACCCAATTTTTATTTTCTTATGAAAAAAACTAAGGCCAGGCCTTGTGGCTCATGCCTATAATGCTAGCACCCTGGGAGGCCAAGGCAGGTGAATTGTTTGAGCTCAGGAGTTCAAGACCCACTTGAGTCAGATCCAGACCTCATCCCTGTTAAAAATAGAAAAACTAGCCAGGCATTGTGGCAGGTACCTGTAGTCCCACCTACTCGGGAAGCTGAGGCAAGAGGATCATTAGAGCCCAGGAATCTGAGGTTGCTGTGAACTATGATGCCATGGCACTCTAGCCAGGGCAACAGAATGAGACTCTGTCTCAAAAAAAAAAAAAAAAAGTTGAATGCTTTGGGAAGACTTAAAAGTGAATCCCTTAAAAGAAAAGATGATTGCAAAGGATTCTAGAAGGTTTTTGCATGCAGGTTATTTCATTAATGTGTTAGAGTTCTCAGTCTACTTTAAAGAAACCAAAGATGTAAATCAGGCTCGGTGCCTGTGGCTCAAATGGCTAAGGTGCCAGCCACATACACCTAAGGTGGAAGGTTCGAATCCAGCCCGGGCCCACCAAACAACAACGGATGCAACCAAAAAATAGCCAGGCGTTGTGGTGGGCGCCTATAGTCCCAGCTACTTGGGAGGCGGAGACAGGAGACTCGCTTGAGCCCAGGAGTTGGAGGTTGCTGTGAGCTATAATGCCACAGCACTCTACCCAGGAGGACAGCTTGAGGCTCTGTCTCAAAAAAAAAAAAAAAAAAAGATGTAAATCAGATGATGTTGTAAGGGCGGTTTAAGCAAAAAAGATGACAGGAAATGCCAACCAGTGGACCCATATCCAAGAAAAGGCCTGGGTCCCACACAGAGATCATGCAACTGCCATATCATTAGTGTTTTGGGTTAAAATGAGCTGTTTAAAGAAAATACATCATTTCTTTAATTCCATTTTTTTTGGTTAATCAACTGACTGCTGGTCCCAAATGCATCTGGAAAGAACTTCTGAGGTCACACCCCTCAGAACTAGGTTTGGGTATAAGAAGTTATGTGTGGGGCAGCACGTGTGGCTCATTGGGTAGGGCGCTGGCCCCATATAC